AAAGAGGGTAAGCAGTTGAAATTTCATTCTAAAACCCATTTTTTTTGTTTTTTCATGGCTTATGATCTGTCAAATTTGTACTTTTCTTTATTGGTTTTGAGTGTTTATCTTAAAACTCAAGTTTCTTGATTCTTTGCTCTTGGTGTAAATCGAACACATTTGTGGATTCGTTTAAATATGTTGGATTTTAAATATATTGGATTTTAAACTGTCATACAATTTTTTCATTGATAGTCTGTAATTGGAACCATAACTCTTATTTATTCAAATTGTATTAATATGTAAAGACCAAGTGTAACTTATATCATCGTTAAATCTTATCTTATAAAACCAGTGGAACTTCAAAATCGTTAAAATCCATGGCTCCCGTCGCATTGCGCGGGTACACAACTAGTATAATATATATATATATATATATATATATATATATACTTGAGATCATGTGAGACCAATGGTTTTTCGTGAGACCCGTAAAATCAATTCTTAACCCTTGGATTAGATTTACAATCGTCAGATCTGAACATTAATAAACGCCACGAGACTTCTCAATAATTACAAAATTGTCACCTTGCAACTTTAGACCATTAGATCATTAGCTTATAAAGTTGATCAATGAACATAAATTGGTCTTACGGATCTCACAAAAACCCTTTAGTCTCACATGAACCCAACCCTATATATATATATATATATATATATATATATATATATATGATAGAGATCAAAGAGTTTTGTATATACATAATGAAACACTGAGGTGACGTTTGTTTTTTAAAATGTGCTAAAATTTAAAGTCTTATTTCACTTCTAATTAATAAGAGGTGGTGTTGGAGTCTGAAATATGAATCAACAAAACTGCTTGTTTTTGTAAATTGATTATTGTCTGAATTTGTTTAAATTATCTATTTTACCGGTTAAAAAATAATAATGTTGAATTTATAGATAAATTTATAAAATTTCACATATTTATTCATCATTACGAAATTTATATTTAAATTATATAATTAACATTTATTTAAACAAAAATATGTCATTAACGATATTTGACTCATTTAAATTCTATTAAAATACACCAATTGAGACATGTGAGGATCGATTTATTAATGATCAATTGAGAAAATGATAAATTAAGGTGACTCAATTGAGAAACGTCTTTGCTAAAGATTTCAAGAACAATAAAAGGCAAATAAGATGTTGGTTTACCTCTTAGTAAATAAAAGAACAAAAAAAGTATAAATGCCCTTGAAAAATTGAAAAAAAAAACGAACAATCTGAATGACCCTACCTCTTAACAAATCAAACATAAAAAGCTAATAATAGCTTTTTTTTTCCCTTCAAAAACGAATTAGGCCTAAACCTATTTGAACATGATCCAACTTTTAGAAGAAACCATAATGGAATCAAATAGTATGAAATGATGAAGATCGTCTAAATTAATATCAATTGTTTTTCTTTTTTTTGTGTTTAGAAAACAAGGAAAATTACAATATTACCCTTTGATGAAATTATAAATGAAAAGCAAGTGTTTGGTAATATTCAGAAAACATCCCAACAGGAAATATGTTTTGCCAGTTAAATGGTTTACAGAAGCCAAAAAAAAAAAAAAAGTTTATTCTAYAWATATATATATATATATATATATATATATATATATATATATATATATCCATCTTTTGCCAAACCAAGCAAAAGCAAGTTTATAGGAAGAAGCATAAAACTAAGTTATTAGACTAAGAAGAAGAAACTCCATATGGAAGAAGTGCAGCAGCTACAATCCTGCCTTCCTCATTTAGTATGTTATATGTTGACGATGCATTTCTCTGCAATCATGCATCAATATCATCATCATCATCATTAAAATACATACCAACTATAATATTAATTATTAATAACCAAAAGGGTGGTGTTTGATTGGTTTGAGATTGGGCTCCAAAGTTAAAAAGTGTCTGGAGGTCCTAGGTTCAAATCCAAAAAGAAATAAAAATACCCTCGTGGCTACAGAGATTCAAATACTCCGGACTACCCGCGAAGCAGGTGGTCATCATGGAATTAGTGGGCTCGCATAGCAGGTTGGATATCCAGGTTAATAAAAAAAATTATTATTCATAATACAAAAAACACAATCATCATCTCACCGAGTCAATTGCCTCTAATTTCATGCCTATAGACCGAATGAACTTGCGTATCGCAGGATCTACACTCTCTATGTGTCTTCCCGTCCCAATGATCAATATTTCTATAACCAATACAACCAGTCATTCGTTATTATTCATATCGTAACTAATCATCAAAAGTATCAACTTCAAAAATCATTCTACGTACCTGGTATGGGTCGCACTGCTTGGAAGATGGATAAGCTGCATCACACATAATAAATAGTATGTCACATGCTAATAATAAATACCTCACACAAACAAAATTCAATACAAATATTGTTGGTGCCCTTGTGAGGGTAAAGCGACGATGGTTATTGGTCATGTTTGAAGAGAGTACCGCATTATATTAAATTATGTTTCTCACACAATTAAGTTCCAAAATCAGGGAACCAGAAATAAGAAAATGAGAATCACAGGTCTGAGAAGGTTGATAACACAGCCAACCACGGAGGAGTAGAGGACGACTATCCATGATTCAAATGTGCACTATACAAGGGGAGAAAACAGTGCTGAGCTGCAGGAAGTGCAAAGCCTGTGAACCTGATATACAAAAAATGTTGGACAACTATGGAGATGTATTTAGTGACTTAATGCAGCAGCCACCATCAAGAGAATCAAATACCATTCAAGGAAGGCACAAATTCCATGAATCTCAAACCATACAAGTATTCTTTTTATTAAAGAAAGATATGATAGAATTATAGAACAACCAACACAGGAGCTGCTTGAGCAAGATGTTTGTAAAAATCAACACTTCTAGCAAAAAAAAGGGCAGATAGAATCAATTGGTAGCATGTAATTGAGGTAAGGGCAAGTTCTCATTGACACATCATTAACTTTTAAAGAAACCAAAATATAAAAACGATATATCAGCAATCTAACCAACTGATTTAACATGTAACTTTTGTGTATTTTAGCAAGTACAACGGGTCAAAAATCTAACTCACTCGTAAAATAATATAGAACCTGGCACTTCCAACTTGGAAACTGCAATACGATATCAAGCTAATGCTCAAGTGTTTATGCAAGTCCACCAAAATTTTATTACAAGCTCGTTTAAGTAGGCTAAAAATCAATCCCATGATATACTACAAGCTCGTTTGGGAGTTGCTGAATGGTTTGGTGCAAAATGATTAAATGGTCAGAATGATTAAGAAGCTTTCATGATATAGTGCAAAAGGAAATATAATTGTTTGGTAATTGTTTACAATGAAATTATGGCGCTTAATGGTTAAGGGAGGCTCATGATACAAAATTATTTAGAGGGTTTTAGAACCATTAAGAGGCAGACTGTTTTTTTTGCCAAACAAGATTCACCTCTTTACGATTCAGAGGCTGCCTCTTAATGGAACTATTAAGAGGTAAACAAACAACCCCGAGTTTGTAAATAATGCTCCAAGTAATGAATGAGACAGCGACAATTGCAAATATAATTTCAACGAATCAATAGTTGAGAAAATACATGTACCTGTCTGTAGTGATATCTGACATTTTCTTTGGACTCCAAGATAATAACAAGTTACCTACACAGAGCAAGCTGCCTTCATATTGTACCCCATTAACAGTGAATCCAGAATCAGTATACCTAGAAACAAATAGAACCAAATCAGTGATAACCATCCATAAATGGAAGAAAATGAGCTAAGCAAATTGAGCATAAACTTTTGTTGATTTGTACTCATGTCATGTGAAGCTATTGACATGAACCACGGAACAGCTATCTGAAGCATCGCAAGACGCTCCCTTGTGAAAATTAGAGAAACATTTTCATGTTCGCGGTTGGTTACAGTTACGATAGCCAATTTAGGATCCCAAAATTCATATTTTGATAGCAAGGAAAACTAGAGTCCTGTGGTAAACTACATAAAGGGAATACAAGAAACATAATTTTGATCTAAAAAGCAAAATTCAGCTCAAAATCAATATTTGTAAAATGACATGGTCATCATTTCTCTCTAACTTGTGGAATCGGCGAATGGAGTTTTAATTTAAAACTTGATGGAACTCTTTATTCATTCGAATGGCCTCAAAAGGTTATTTCCATCCTATGATTTTCCAAAAACAAAATCACTACAAACAATGAGTAATCTGTGTCACAACATATCATATAAATGTCAATGTTAAGCTTATGGAATTATCCTTGGAGTGATTTCAAGCATAATCCAACAACTAAAAACGCCCCGATTTCATTTGATCTTATTTGCCAATCGCACTAAAATAGCCGTTTCAACTCATAATTAGCTTTAACCAATACTGCAGAATATCATGACGGATGAAAAGTGTAAAAAAAGAAAAGAAAAATCATAAGAATTAACTGTAAGCGAATTGAATAGAACTTCCGTACCCTTGAAATCGTAATTGGTCCTCCGGGATGTTGTCAATGAGATTAACTTGATCGTATAGAGAGAAAGCTCGCCGTAGTGACGGCAATCTCTGTGGAAGTGATGGAGATTCTTTCCTTAGTGCCCTCATCAGCGTTGGCAACGTCGCCACAGCCCTCTGTCTCACCGCCATTTTTTGTGCTCCAATTTGGGGGATTTTGACCTCCGGCGACGACGCCTTCTACAAATTGACACACTTGTGGATATTTTGCAATTTTGGTCATATTCTTTTGACTAATTATATATTGGCCCTCTTACTTTTGTTCTTTATTTTTTTGCCAAACAAATCTTGTCCAATTTAGACATTTCACAACCTTCATGTTTTATTGCTTTAAACTCTACACTTAAGTTTATCCTTTTTTTTAACCCGAAAATATTATTTAAACTCATGATTTATTAATTACTAGTTATGTACCCGTGTAACACAACGCAATGTAAAGTTTTCAACAAGACTCATTCGTACTTGAAGTCAAAATATAACACCCCCGTCCCGTGTGGTTAAAGACGGAAGATGCTACAATTGGTGTAAAAAAAATACAATGCAACACATTACATAAAACAAAGCAGCTAATATAATTTACCAAAAGATAGTTATATAATCACAAACGGAGATAACAGTGTGCATCAAAATACGGTCCCAAAGTACAAGTGTATCTATATTAGTCATCAAAAGTTTAACAAAAGTATGCCCTAACAGATTATCTTAAGTATTATCATCTGCGTAGCTCTCATCCCAAAATTCCTATAAGTCGTGTACCTGTCGAGGACAAAGAAAATATCGGTTGAGCTTAATGCTCAGTGAACGGATAATAATAACTAAACCATGAATATGAGATAACAAGTTCAAAAACAATTTATACCGTTAAATGATAATCCAAAATAAAGTCAAAATGCCTCGAAGGCATGTCAAGGGTCCGAAGACCAAACCGCATCACGAGGACGCGTTGTTCCCAAAGGATGATCAGTCCGTTCAGGCATGAGTTAGAAAAGTTGTGCTAGCACAACACAACAATCTTCTCTGTGGATTTAAACACGACCACAATTTATTATCCGATAACGGTTCATAGGATCAATCCATACCCATCTATTTGACCGGTATCTAGTCAAATCCACCTTTAAGGACTATATAAGTGAGGATGTCATGATCGTTTTAACCACCATGGAAACATCTCAATACTGGAGCCTCCAATATTGAGTCTATAGAAAAAGGTTCATAATAGATATGATTTCACCAGTAAAGTAATCAAGTAATCCATGTTCCAAATCAGAATTGAAGTCATAGTTCAAAAGAAATAAAAACTCAATATAATGAGAATTTTGAACCTATGTATTCGGATTTATGATAAGTTATTCGGATTAATAAGCCTTATGCATATGGCTATCATCGTGTCAAGTGAGGTATGCAATCCGTACCTGAACCGAATTTGATAATTAGCACACGATCAAACGGAATTCACAATTAAGTTTGACTTGCCTGCATGCTTAACGAATGCATAAACGGGTTATTATTTGCAAGACATAAAAAAACCATAACATAATTATTCCAATAAACTTACTTAGGTCTTAATGTACTCAAACAACATAGACTTCAAGAAGGACAGCTGAATACGAATTGAGAACTCAAACGTAACACTTAGCCTTATGCACTTTCGATCCAACAACATTTGTCTCTCTTCTTTTTAAGCATTTGCCCCCTACTTAGAGATCAATATAGATTATATTGTCTAAATTAAAGTTGGAGTATGGTATCATGTGAGTCTATCAGTTTTGAAATCGTCCATTTAGATCATTTATCTATTTTATATGAATTTTACAAAACAACAACTATGATTCCCGTGTACACAGTAAACAACCCTAAAAACACATTGTTTTGAGTCACTTAGAGCCACATCTGTGTTTTAGATCATTCATAACAGTTGTAGTATATAGTAAGGCCTCTCTACCTGCAAAACATGAGTTTATTCCGACTTACAATTTAAGAGTTATGCACTATTAAACTACTAGACTTGCAATTGACTATAATTTCGATTTCCACATTTTTCCCCAACCCACTTTTATGATCCCAATTTCAATGATTTGTAACATTTAAATGTTCTAAACATATCATAACATATTAAAACCACAAAAAAGCTTAATGATTATTATTCTAAGCTTGATCATACAATTTTGCTTTTTTAGACATTTAACCGAATATTTAGTGTGCGGTTAATCTTATACACCTAATCTAACCATATTAAATCCATAACTTACCCTTTTAATTTCACATCAATTTTAGTCAACCAAAACATTCAAAAACATGTATTTAACCATAAATTGTAAATACCAATTCATATACTAACCATATACACAATTATAAATCAACTTCAAATATACTAACATAAACACCCTAATAAAAACGAAAGAAATACATTTAAGAAAGGTTTGAAGAGTGGATTCCGAATATATGGTTGTTACCTCAATTCTTTTAGCAAATTAGGAGAATTTTTAGAAAGAATATAGAGTTCAGAGAGAAAGAGAGTGGTGATAAAATGAGGCAATGGAAATAAATGAATGAGACGATGGATGAATTTACACTTATGATATATATATATATATATATATATATATATATATATATATATATATATATATATATATATATATATATATATATATAGGGTTAGGTTCACGTGAGACCAGCCTGTTTTCGTGAGACCCGTGAGACCACATTTTTACACGTAGCCTTCACAATAAAAACACTGTGAAAGTTTAAAAAAAGTCGAACCTTCACAGCAAAAACACTGTGAAGGTTTTAAAAAGTCACCTTCACAGCATTTTGCTGTGAAGTTTCAAGTGTAAAATGTTGGTCTCACGGGTCTCACGAAAACAGGCTGGTCTCACATGATCCCAAGTCTATATATATATATATATATATATAGGACGTTTTAAATGCAACTCATCACATTTGTATAACTAATGCAACACAATCAATTGAGATATTTATGGAAATAATGGGAGTTCATTTATTATGATTTGAATATTTATGGAAGATGACTAGGGTTCATTAATTATGATCAATTCTTTATATCTATACTACCTTATTAAACAAATTTACTCAAAGTGTTAAAGTCTTAAATTTTTTAATACCCAAAATACCCTTACACTTCCTTTACACGCCTCCCCTCCCCCAACTCCCAAGATGCCTCTTCACTTTACCCGGCTCCCCTCCCCCAAGAAGACTCTTCCCCTTATCGTCTCCCAAGACGACGATTCACTCCCCAAGATGGTTCCCTTTAAGAGTCGTCCATTGTCCTTCTCAAAATCGTCGTTCCCACCGCCGAATCGTTCCTCAATCGCTTTCAATCGTCGCTCTCCAATCGTTCCTCGATCGCTTTCAGGTATGAACAATTCATCTGTTTGAGTTTTATTTCTGGGTTTTGCTTTTGGGTTTTGGGTTTAGGGCTTCATTTAGTGATACTATTTACTGATTTTGTTATTTACTGATTTTGGGTTTAGGGCTTCAATTGTTTTCCTGTTATTTGTTAAATTCGAAATTTGACTTGTGTTCTCAAATCTTTTTGTAGGTTTTTGAATATTTGGTTGACACTGTGTTCTCAAATCKTTCTCTCCAATCGTTCCTTGATTGCTTTCAGGTATGAACAATTTATCTGTTTGAGTTTTGTTTTTAGGTTTTGCTTTTGGTTTTTGGGTGAAAATATACTGTTGTTCAGAAATTGTCTGCTTTTTTAAAACTGTGATTTCTAATTCTTTCTGAAGTTTGACTTTTTGGTTCTTAAAATTAATGTGGTAATGCATTAGCGTCTTCAATTGTGTAGTTTAGTTGGTTTTAA